AGGAGTGGCCCTTGCCTCCATGCAAGGTGGGCTGGAACCCGGAGCCCCACATGGGGAAGATGGAAGTGGTAGCAGCAGCCTGCACTTCTTCTTTCCCTCCCTGTTGGCCTGTGGCTAGTCAGAGCCCTTCAAGCATAGCTGCCTCTGTTGGCCATTGTCTGAGACCGACCCTGCTGATTGGCCGACACTGATGATGTCATAGTGGCACCAACTGGTTTCATCCTATTGAGAGGTCTAAGACCGACCCTGCTGATTGGCCCACACTGATGATGTCATAGTGGCACCAACAGTGGGAGGGCTTCTAATGCCCTGGCCCCACTGGTGGACCTCCTGATGGCACCTGGTGTTTCTGGCCACTGTGTGACACAGAGTGTTGGACTGGATGGGCCTTTGGCCTGATCCAACATTGGCATCTCTTATGTTCTTATGTTAACTGGTTTCATCCTATTGAGAGGTCATCTCATTGACTGCTTGAAGAGAGGAGAAAAGTGGGGAGGGGGGGAACGGCTCTAAAGCAGCAACTGCAGACAAAGAGAATTATTTCTTTATAATTTTGCTTTTTCAGCCTTAAGATCATAACCACAAACTACTAACCATGGCGGTGTGCCAACGTTGTTGGGTTCAGCGTTACTCCCAACTGTAAAAGTGGAGGGCTGACAGAACAAGTGCTGTGAATTGGGGCAAGGGTCCCCAACCTTTTTTTGAGCTTGTGGGCACCTCTGGAATTCTCACCCAGAGCGCTGGGTGCATCAGGATTGCCATCCCCCAGGTCCCGGCGGGTGTTCCCCCAGTTTTGGGGGCTCCCATCTGCTGCCAGCCAGCAGGGGGGGAGCCCCATCCCCAAGCCCTGCCCCCAAGCCTGACCACTGACAGCCACCCCTCTCCCTCCCCTCCTGCAAGATTTAAAGGGCCCTTCAACTGATCGGCAGGCCCTTTAAATCTTGCAAGAGGGGAGGGAAAGGAGCGTGTGCCACCCCCCACCCTTGTTTCTTCTCAAAAGCATGTAAAGGGGAAGAAATGGGGGCTGGCACGTGCCTGCAATCCAAACCGCTAATTCGCAGCTTGGGTTGCAGGTGCCCCTCCGCTTCTTCCCCAAAGCATTTAAAGGATCCTTCTAAATGCTTTGGGGAAGAAGCAGGAGGGAGGGCTGTGCGCACTTGCAATTCAAGCTGCAAATTTGCGGCTTGGAATGCAGGCACTGGTCCCCAACGTGATGATGTCACTTCTGTGTGATATCATGATGTTTGGGCTGTCCCTGCCCCCCCAGAACACCCCCCAAAGTCCCCCGCTGGGGACTGGGAGGAACCTGGCAACCCTCGGGTGCATCCACACAGTGGCTGCTGCAGGAGACAGAGCCAAACACAAAATGTCAGGGAGTGAGGTTATGTATAACTCTTACTAGTCACTCTTCAGCATTTCAGGCAGATGTTCTGTGTAACAAGATGCCTTTTTAAAATCAAAACTGTTCTTAAATAATTTCTTGCATATATACACATAGCTGACCTTCAGTCACTCAGTGAAGACCCTTGTGCTGAGGTGATAGCTGTTCCCAAGGCAGCATTTAAAAAAATCTGTTTAGCCCATCAGAAGCCCTTCTGGCCAAAAGCCCCATCTGGCCCTACCCACTTTCTAAAAATGCCAGGGGGGAAATGCCACGATAGGTGTTGGTGGGTGCCATGGTGCCCACGGGCACCATGTTGGAGACCCCTGAGTTGGAGAATGCTCTCACTGGAACCCCTTTTTGCTTATGAACTCACTGTGG